ATCATCATCATCATCATCATCATCATCATCATCATCATCATCATCATATTTGAATCAGTGACCTGTCATCCACTGGTTTGATAGTACCAAAAAGCCTCGACCGCACGTGCTTGCCGTCCGACTTGGCCTCGGATGGTGTTTTTTGGCCCCATGTTTTGGCCGTGGCAGGGCTGGGCTGATTTGCTTCTATGTGGGCTTGGCCTTCATGATGGTGTGGGAAGAGCCCAGAGCGGAGAATGTTCTGCAGGTACCTGGAGCGTTAGTATTGTTGGAGGAGCCTCCAACAAGTCTCAACCCCCCCAAAACTTGCGAAGAGGTGCTGATTTGCGTTCAATTGGGGGATGTCCCGCCTTCGAGGAATTTGAGGACAGACGGTCAAGTTTAGTCCTTTCACATGCAGTTGCTAGCATAATAATCCCAATCATCCCTTTTCCCCCACGTTCTTCACAAGCAGTTTCGGAGTACTTCGAATGCATCACATTACAGCATACTATAGTCTAAGACTATAGGAACTCAGGACGCTCGGGATGGATGCCCCATGGCTTCGTCGATGTTCCACTCCACCGATGGTTGCAGACCTTCTTCGTTCTCGTCGAACTCGTTTGACCAACCGAGCACCGAAGCGGTCGACGCATGGAGGTGGAAGACTGGGGATTCGAACGCTGCAACCGAGCGGCCTGCATCAACGGATGAGCATACGATAGCATACAAGCAAGCTGAGCATAAACACACTCTCACCCGTGGCACGGACCAGACAGTCAGGCACCTACACACCTGCGCCAGATTTGCAATCCAAAACTCCAGATTATATAGACCAAGACAAGTGGAATGTCGAACAACATTGCTGCCCGAAGTAGTTGGTGGTGCATGCGCGAGCAACGCAACACTTTTTTTTGGGAAAGCAGTTGAGCAACTTGGAAGGTTAAACTTCCACCTGCCCTTGGATTCTGGTTTGAGTTCTGACATAAATAAAGCAAAGTCCTAATGAACATGGTCCAACATGTCGTTGATGGTGTAAGCATCTGCTCCAATCTTGACTAGCGAGCCTACGAGCTCTATGCAACGTCACATCGAATTTGATGCGGCCTGCGAGGTTCTACCAGACGACCTACTCCCTGATGTACTGCATGTTGCTTACAGGTGACGGTGGACAAGGCGCCTCCATCACACCTGAATTCGGGCTTTGGACATGCAACTGCTGAGAGAGGCATCACAGTCAGTCTTGAACCTGAAGCGTTTAAAGGGAGACACTCGTGAGAGGATCATGGACTGCGCCCAAAGTCGTCCCCACAGATGAAGTATGAAGCGATGCTCCAGTCCCTTGATCCCCAGATGTTTTGATTGTTGACCTGGAAGGACAATCCCTGTTTGTAGAGGAGCATGGTTTTTCCTGGGGTCATGCCGCATGCCATCCACTTCCATGATTGGAGAGTAGTGAGTAGTCAGTCATGTGTTCGGTAATTGTTTTCAACTGTCGTGCGGTCCCACCGGTGGGACCGAAGCAGGTGAAGAGCTGAAGGGCCGAGAATTCCAGACGCGTTTGCAGGGGAGCCCAGCACTGGGGAGACATGGTGGACTTGTGGAGTGCAACTTGCATAAAGATACGGGATGAGACGATATTGATAGATGATACAAGAAGGATGTGATTAGCATTCATTTCATTAGATGGATACCTAGATAGACAGCTCGGGCAATCAGACGGCTCAGATTCCAACTCCCGTGCTCCTTCGGCACTAGCTGCAGTAGCTTTTCCTCAATGTCCGACGGGCTTTCGCAGATTTAGAGTTCCTGATTCAGGGCATGCTGACCAGCCAGTCCTGACTCATTTTACCCCTGGCTGGTGGCGGATTGGAACATATTCCTCAAGGGAGTCGATTTTCGGGCCTGACATGTTCCGTATGTTCCATGCTTTCTGGGCATGTTCCTTTCCCTGCGGCGACTGGGCCTTGGCCAGGCCAGGTGAAAAGATGTGAGCGCTGTTGCCTCGCAAAGATTCGAGGAATGGCAACCGATGGCAGCCCTGTCTCCGCACGAGACCTCGGCGGCCGGCGGCATATGACCAGCGAAAAACGGGGTGGACGGATGATGATCTGAGCGGCTCCACGACCTTTTCGGCGGGCCTCCTGGTTGAAGAAAGAAGGTGCTGCCTCCCACTGGCCGGCCTCCCTATTCTCCAGAAATATACCATCAACAAAAACAGGGCAGAATCGGATGCTGCAGTACTCTTTTTCAGAGCATTACGCCCGTTTCAAAAACACTCTGCCTATGTGATGTTTGTGGTTTTCATCAGAGACGTGACACATAATCATTGCGCTGCAGAAGTTGCCAGGGTCATTGCGCTGTCTCACTTTTGCATGCCTGACATCCACAGCACTTATAATCTAAGTTGTTTATCTCCGGACATTTTATCCAGATAAAAATACTTGCCGGACCCTATGTGCAATAAACACCCTAGATACTGATGTAGCAGGTGCATTGCACAGTGGTTTGGGTTTGACTCACCACCTGCCGGTTGCAGCAGAGCATGTAAATGCCGCACCATGGATATTCATGGATCACAGTTCTTGACGGTCCGACTCCTGTCGCAACAGGTGCAGTATTCCTTTCAGAAGTGCACACTTGAGGGACATCATAATCCAAAACATACTGTAATCCATTAGAGGTCAGTGTTAGTCTATGTTAGTCTTCAATTGGTGGTCTAATGCTTCAGGTTCTGTGTGGCAGGCTTGCGGCAAGCATTTCTGTGATGGTTTGGGCCGACCCCATGGCCAATATCGATAGATATAGAGCTCTCCTCACCAGTTGGGGTTGCTGGTGCCCTACGTGCCCATCAGCTGTTAGTGGCAATGGGGTCGGCCGCGAGTTGCGCGCCCGATTTGAGCCACAAGTGCGCAGATCCCTACAGCATCCTACTGCAAAAAGTCATCCGGGGAGTCCGGGGTCAGCTGGGAGACTCACAAAGGGCATAGAACAAGTATGAAGAAATCCCACGTCAAGGGTTCTGGCAATGTTTTTAAGCAATAGTAGTCACGTGCAGGCCCTTCAGGGCTATCCGTACTCTTGTTTCTCTCCGAGGCACTGCATTCATTGCACACCCCATTGGTCGCGGGGTTTTGAAGCCATTTGTACAAATCATTGCCACGAGAGAGAGGCTCCAGACATCAAGGCATTATACGACAGTTGAATGACTTGAATATCTATATATATATATATTTCTATCTATCTATCTATCAACAATGTACAATCACATTTAACAGATTTGTCATTATAATGCATTCATTTGGCTTCGTAGGATTAATCTCAGAATACCATATGCCCGTATAGTTATTGAATACCAATTTGAACAATTTGACACCTCCATGGACCCCATCGTCCACTCGCACATCCTCGCCGCCCCTCGCGGAATTTCAGCGGTTTAAGCCGCTTAGACAGAGGCGCGCAACGGCTACTATAGACTCATCGACATCTCATCAACCATCAGATGGTGCCATTTTCTGGCCAAGGTGCCCCCCAACTGAAGGGTGAAGCGCAACAGCTTGTTTAAGAGTTGAGTGTCCTTCAGAACCATGCAATTAGCCCGCAATGCGCCAAAGACATACGAAACTCATTGATTTGCATATCGTAGTTTTTCCTACCAGGGCAGCCCAGACATATAGCACAGGCCCGTGTCATGTTTTTGCAGATGACATAGGGCCACGTCACCCCGGCCAACAAGCAATGTTCCACCCACCCCGCAGCCTTTTCACAACAAGTGCATCCACATGTCGAGGGCCACGGGCACATTGCTCGGTATGGCTGATCCTGCCAGTATGGGCGCGAGCGTCCAGGAGCGACGCAGGTTCCGACCTCCCCAGGAAGCACGTGGATCACATGCGCCCCGCGGAGCTTCGTTCGGTCCAGCGTTGGGGGTTTCTTCGGATCGAGTTCGCTTCGTTCCGGAAGACGAGAGGACTGGGAACGCATGGCAGGTGTTACGTCAGGTGAACGCGGAAGTGACATGCAGACCTTAGAATCACCTGACAGTGCCATGATCCGATGCCCCAAGGCGGCAGGAAGCTCTATCTAAAGTGGGTGTCCCGTCCTCATCGCTGCGACCTCGTCATCGGGCGAAGTCATGTTCATGCCAAAGGGCCCAACAGCACCTTAAAGATCCTTAAAGTTTGCTCCAGGAGTCACATGGAGTTGGGTGGTTTTTAGTCCCCAAGTGAGTGGATGTGACGTTCGGGCACCGCGATCATGGATCGCACCCCGACATGTGACTGCTGGTTGATAGATGTTGATAGTATATACATAAGCGTAAGCACTGTTTTACCTGGCAAAAAAGCAGCCAAGAAACAACATCAGTAGGACCTTCACACCTAGACACAATTGGGTTCCAATACACTGAGAGGAGTTGCTCCTCTAAGTGGGTCACTGTTTACGATGCATAGAATACCTGTGCTAGAGAACCTCCAATCAATGCCCTCTAAGCATTTTCTCAAGCAGTGACGGTGAAATTGAAAGAAAACCACTCTGTATATACCTTGAGTCTCCAATGACCCTTGTAAATTTGCCTTTCCAAGAAAAAGAGGTTTTTGAAAGAAAGCACTCTTTTTTGCATATGTCACGAAATGTTCCTTTTTGTGTGTGCCCTGGCAGATCCTCCTTAGACAGTGTCCTGAGACCTTTTTTCGGCGTCCAAAACGCGTCTTTTTGCGTCCAAAAGGCGTCTTTAAGCGTCCGTGCCGGACGCGTCCGGATGAAGATTCACTCTGCACCTTTTTTTGAGTCCTCATCTCTAAAAACGCGTTTTTCGAGCAAAAACGCAAAAATATTAGACCAAAAACAAAAACGCAGAAAAAAAAGGTCTTTGGAGACTCAAGGTATAAATACACTGTATATATGCTCACCGGAGCTGTTTGTTCGCCAGTCGCCCGGAGGATGACCAGCTGCAGCGTGACATGAACGCCTTACAGGAGCCATGGGTTTGACGACGGAGGAAGCCTGGTGACGGACGGCGACATGAACACCGGTGACGGGTGACTTGTTATAGTGGTTTCAGGGCAGATGAAAGCCCAAGATGTCGTTTAGATAGGGGTCCAAAAATTATAAAGAACCTTTGGGGGATTGTGCCATCTACTCTCAATCCACTAATTATTAGTGAATCCTGGATTTGTTGTATTTCCTGGGGACCATTTGCAAGAGTTTTGAGAGCGTGTTCTTCACAATACGAACAGATATATATATATATATACAGTACATATACATACACCGTTGCCAAAGAGGATGGCACAATTTTTGCAATGACCAGTGGCAAACGACCTAGAGGTAGATTGCGCCAGGTGTGCTCCACCAATATAAACTTACCGATGGCGCAATTCAACCTTTGTTGGGCATTCTGATAGCGAGAGCGGCTTGGAAGACTTGCCGCCAAAATTGGGTCATGGATGGCGCAATGCCATACATGCATGTCAGAATTGAGCCAGGAATAATGTGAAAGTCAACATTGGCAAAGATCCTGTTTTTCTCACGCCAAGGGAAACATGTGGTAAGCTGAATGTTTATATTATATACATAGTGGACATTGCTCTCACAAGTGTGCCATCAAACAGCTACTGTAGATGGCATAATTTACATTGAGCCCGTTTACTACTGGCCTTTGAAAATTTGCCAAACTCTGCAAACACTGAGGAAGTTGGCAAGTCATCTTATGTGAACCACGCATGACAGGGCGAGTGTTGATGGCGCAAATGCAAAATGCAATGTGCCCCGTTTCGCCAATTTGTGAATATGCCAATTTGACATCGACAAGCTTTCCGCAGAACTCCCTAAACATGTCCCCTTTGTAAGCACATAGATAGCGCAATCAGAGGTAGTAAAAAAACACTTTCGCCATATACTCTCACCCTGGAGCTAATTCATATGCCAATGCATATAATACTTGTTGTTGTTGTTGTTGTTGTTCCTGGAGCCTTCATTGTCTTCCCGATCCTTCCCGATTCCATCCCTTTATCCCCGCCTCGCGCGACCAGGAGGGGATTCGCCTTTTGTTCACCAACGACTTTCAAAAGGCGGAAGAGACCTTCCGAGAAGGATCCCAACGCCGCTTGCTCCGCTTGCTCCGCTTGCTCGGGGGGAAGGGAGAGGACTCCGCGACGGGCGGGCCTTTGTCGCGCGCGCGTGTTTTTCGGGGGAGGTTCTGGAGGTGGTGCTAGACCTGGCTGATTTGCAACTCACGAGACCTGATCCGCACTGCCCATTTGAGTAGCCTCCCTCCAATGATGGAAGTGGACAAGCCGCTGTTTGTAGAGGACAAGGGTTTGATAATATGGTTTTATCAATGTTGTCAATTGTCATTGTCCATTGACTGTTGGGAGGGAGGCTGGTAGGTCGTGTCTTTTCTCCTTGGCTGCTGCGTTCTTCCCAAGGTGAACGACCTCGGATACGACCGGCAAATGACAGCACGCGGGATACGCGTGGGGTCTTCGCCCTGATTTACACGATGGTGAGCTTCATGCGCCCATGGCTGCAGTGGGTGGGTGTTGAGAGGTCGACGGACCCAAAACCAGGTGAACCAAAAGGATCCCCACGTTTTAAACGATTTTAGGTGTTGATTCAAAAGCAAAGGACGTTGCTTTGTGGCACTTTGTGGCTGTATTTTGGCGCACCTCGAGCCCAACTCCGTACCTACCACGCCTACCATGCTCTTCCGTACCTCCCAAAAACTATGCCTTTCCGTGACCTAAAAGTTGTCACCGTGTCGCTGTTCGTGTCGCCAGGTTTGGTTTGTTATCCTTTGCCAACGACCAGTTGGATGAGTGTTTGACCCGAGTTTGGACGGCAGAAAGTCTGTTGCTGGAGGACCCGATGTGGATGGGAGGATGGGATAGGCAGGCGGGATGGGATGGGCCTTACGAATCGGTGTCGTGGGAGTTTCACTGGTCAGTGCTTCGGCTGCAGGTTGTCCTGAGTGTCTTCATCTTTTAAAAGTGGAAGGGGTGAATTGCTGTTGGATCCGGGTTTCTGAGGGGCACTACAGTCCACGGTTTCCCTTGAGTTGTGCAGAACATTGCAGAACCATCTATTTGACTGCATTCGCACTTGAACCACATCATGTAAACACATCCAAAAGCTTGTCCCAGCCAAACAACTTGCGCATCGTATGTATACTGTTTGAGTAATTACAGTATTCTAACTGCCCTTAGGTATACGTTTATAGATCTTTAGCCGCTGCCCGTTTTGGGGGCATTGTCGTTTTGTGCCTTCACAGCTTGGGCATGGGATCTATTCTTATGTGGCCCTCGGTGCGATGAAACAGGATTTCACACATTGCTATCTTTTTGCACCACCCACCGTGGGTCCTGGTTCTCCTCCAGGGGGAACCGAGAAAAATGTCAGCCTTACGTTGCGGCAGTGATCTTTTTGTTTGCCATCGGGTGGTCCCATCAACAATTCTTTACTATATACTGGCAGGGGTATTGCTTCAGGTTTAGTACACATGTTTCATTTCGGTAGTCTTTTTGGAGATCATGTTGCAGGAGTATTTGCAGCTGTTTGTCGGATAAGTAGTTTTGAATGGTAGATAATTGTAGCGTGGACTGCTGGATTGACATATCAAGGAGATTTGAGAAAGCACATTCATAACCTTCTTTCTGTTGAACTGTTCAATGTTCTTAGAGAGAGGAACGATGAACAACCCTTCAACTTATTTAACCGAAGGAACCCTCTCACCATTTGTCCATCGTTGTTTAGGTATACCTCTTTGAGACCGCCGGGCAGAGACCCCGTGCTCCTGAGACCCGTTGCTCTTGCCCTGTCGACCGGAGGACGCGCCCTGGGTGGGACAGAAGATGCTCCTGGGGATGGTCTACCTCATCGCAGGAGTGGCGCCGCGGTCTTTGCAGCTTCTGCGCGGTTGGGGAGATCGAAGCGAAAAGGAAGAGGAAGTGGAAGTGGAAGTGGATGGTATGGAACCGAAAAGAAGACCATGAAATCCTCTAGAAAGAGGAGGTGAACTCCACGACTTAACCATGCTAGTTCCAGGGGGAGTAAGGAGTGCAAGGCTGGCTTGAGTGCTGACAACTGATAGCTTGGATGGAAACATGTGATTGATTGTTCGGTTTGCTTGGGTGAATCAATGGGTGTCAAATGGTTGGATAGATGATGGTTTTGCCGGAACTCGCCCACTGGCTCGCACCCTTTCTGTGAGTCGTCGATGCTTTGTGCCATGTGGGAGGCATGCGGTGGATCCTTTTGGGGGGGGCCTCAACACCTGGGATCCTTCTCCATCCGAGACCGCGGGAGACCTTTGGATCGACACCGATCCAGGAAAACCGGCTGTGAGTCAAGACCTCCACGGAGGTTCATCCGGAACGAGAGGAATCGGTACCTTTTCTGTGGTGAACCGGTCGGTGCCCTGCAGTGCCCGGGGCGTCATGACCCAGGTCGCCGAGTCCAGCCACCCAAACACATGCGCGCTTTGGTACGTGCCGAGTTGCACAGTGACAAACGCACCTCCAGGCATTCCATGACCATGAAACATGCGTCCACGCGGCCTCCTTCATCCGATGCAAGCTCCTTCATTCGGCCTCCGAAGGAGTGGTGCAAGCGGCCAAGAATGCGTGGCTGAAGTCGGGGGTGAACTTGGTGCGCTCGCTGCGCTACATCAAGGACTTCGAAGAAGGCTTTCCGTGACTGGGGTCGGTGTCTTTTGGTTCCTCCAGTTTGCTATTATTCTTAGCACTCCCGAAAACCAACATGGACCCGGGTCGGATGGAACCATCAAAGATGTTTTCCTCTACAAACCAGTGGTTTTCAGTGTCTATGTTAGTTTTCAGTGGAGTACTGGAGTACTGGTTCTTCTTGTTTTGGTTGGTGCACCCCAGAAGCTCAGCTGGAAATGTTGTAGCATGAAAAACCATATCCAGATTCAAGATGTTTCAAGGAGGACGGTCCAAGTGATGTTCTTCGGAAGCTAGTTATTCGCAAACGCCCAAAAGGTCAATATCCTAGGCTTCCAACCACCCACTCCAAAACCCGTTTTGCTCGTTTGTGTCTGAATCGTATACGGCGAACTCCAGGGTTCGAAGGTCATTGCTTCGTATGTCCCACCTCCGAGGCCAGGAGTGAGGTCGCTGAAAGGACATGAAACATACATGTTGCCAGGTTTGGACCTGCAACATCCTGCCTGCGAGAAAGACACATAGATGCTTATGCCAGGTTTTGCCTCGAATCCGGCATGCGTTCGCCGAACAAACATACACCCAAGGAAAAAACACTGTCAATCAGCGGGCCCCCGACAACTCAGCCAGCCTCGGAACGGTTCAAAACGGAACCCGTGAGGCCTCCATTTCAGTGGCCGTGAAGCGCACTTCGTCCGCAGCTTCGCGGGCTTCGTCATGGGCCTTTTTAACTTAGCCCCTTGGTCCTGACACGAGATAAGTAAGAAGGAAGAAGGCGGCAGCGAGCGGGGGACTTGGTGAGAGATTGGGGCGCACTGTGTTTTTGCTTTTATTTAGCCGGGTGGGGGTGACATAGTATGTTCAGATGTCATCAGATCACTGCCCCAGCGACCTGATCTTTTTCAATGGAAAACCCGAGGTCTTGTCCATGCTGCCTCCGCAGATGCTCCGCGTCGCGTCCCGTGCGGGCGGACGCACCCTGCAGGGCAGCCGCACCGATGCACTGGAGCTGCTGCATCAGTGCTTCTTGGATCACCGATGGGGGTCCAATGAACGAAAGGGTGTTGTGTGTCACCTGTGTCAAACCCCACCGTATTGGAACGGTTGGTCAGATCACTATTCGGGGGGGAAGAACTTTACTAACTATCAGCCACGGTTGAACGGGGTTTACTGCCCGACGGTGATGTTAATTACTTAAATATACAACAGTTGCCGGCAACTTGGCATGCCTTTGCCTGCCATTGACTGATGGGTTTTCGTTTGTCTTTAGGACAGGGAATAGCGCTTTGTCGTCGAGGCGGTGCATCTGGTGAAAGAGCACCGCCCATGTTCGGTTGCAAGCGCCCACCGGAGGGAGCCAGAGATTTCCTCAGGAGCCGACCTGTACCAAACTCAAACTGCGCACCCAGCAAAGATCAATGTGATACAGTCAGTGCCCTTAGTCATGTGCAAACAAGATTTCCATTGTCAGGAGTCACCGTCACGGAATCAGGCTCAATGTGAGAGCGAAGACCCAATAGTCATAGAAATGTTGGTGTGGATGATGCTTTTTGTGGCGGATTGAAAGGTTCAAAGCAACATAGAAACCCAGAAACATACAGGAAAACCCCCAAAGGTAAAACAGCAGAGTTTCAGTGGCCCTATCATAGGGCACAAGCAGCGGCACAAGCTTTAGTGGCAAGCGGCTCTTGCGCGGTTATATATGGAAGATTGTTCTGGAATGTTCTTGATCTCACGAATCTTTAAAGAACAAGTTTTCAGTTTTCATTGATAAGTTTCAATTTTGGTTTTCTGTTGTTGCTAGGAGGTTTCGTGAGGTTTCGTAAGTGCCTCTAACAAACAGATTGCTTGCTGTAATGTCTATTTGTTTACTGCTTTCTATCAGCTCATTGCCTTAAACAACATGTTACCACTGCCACCGCCAGCATGAAATGTCACTTACATAATGTCCGTCACCAAAAGTAAGTATTGTTTGGTTTCGTTCAGTGATATTACTTGCACCATTTTGCACCTGTAGAAGTAACATTGCAACCTTATAACGAAACACCATTAACAGTAGTGAGTTCATTTTGTGCCATGTGTGCCAAAAACCTGCCGTGCTGCCATTCCTGACACCAGCATCAGCAAAGTAGTTAAACCTCCTTTCTCGACCTGCTCCACCTAAAAAACATCTTAAAACTATGCAACCCTGCCAGAAAAGAAATTAGTTGAATAACGACTACCACTTATCCTGCGTGTACTTGTGGAATAAATAACCTCTAAACAACATCCAAAATATGACAATAAAACACCCACAGACCCAAACACGATGCAGCACTGATAAGCAATGCACGCAACACCCAAATAGCAACAAATACAATTTCTATATATTAACCTCTCAAATATGTTGTGTTTTTAATTTGTTTTATTTATATATATATATAGTATATATATTGTGTTTCTGTTAAGCCTTTGCAGGCCTGGTTAGAACAAAACTCGTGGCACAAACTAGCTCAAAGCCTACTGGGTTTGTGTTTCTTGTTTAGCACAACAAATGTCGTCCAAGAGCACCCGTTCTTGAGATGGTGTTTCTTGGGGGCTGGAGTGTATGAGATAGGCACTTTTTTCCTGCAAAAGGCTATGAAAGGGTGGTCCTTCAATGTCAAGAAGCGGTCATTCTGCTTGGATGTCCCCAAGCACCTCCCGCCCCCAGGCCGGTCAATGGACGCCCTGCTATTTGACTCCAAGGGCCCCGGGGGGGCGGCGTCATTCTTTTTGCTGGAATGCCCCGAACTCTGGCAAAAGGAACCTCACCCCCCAAAACAAAAAAACATATATATATATATATGTATGTATTATATAAATCCTCATAGTATATATAACTATGTTATAACCAGGTTCCCAAACATTGGGAGATGATAGGCCTCTCACACCTTTGACGATTTTAGTAAAAACCATCTAAAGCCCTTGGGATGGTGGAGTTGGGATCGAGGCTATGTTCAGGATGGCATCATGGCGCCGTTTGCTGTTTTAGTGCTTTTGTGTTACAACATTTGGATGCTCCTTAGCCGCAGGGGAAAACGTGTGGATAGAACGGATGCTTTTCGAGAGGTTCACATGGGAGACGGGGAGAAATACAAGGTCCGCCTGAGAAAGGCCATTGCGACTGTTCTCCTCTACGCACCACTGGTTATAGGGTTCGTATGAACAGTGCAGGTGGGTAAGGTGGAATTCTGTCGAGATGTTTACCGAGGCCCTAGGGGTTTTCTCAGACCGTGGGGTTGCTTTCCTCTATATATTAGTTTGGGAGCCCACCCTGCTCCTAAGTTGTTTCCTTTTCGATGGGTGCAAACGGTTCTTCATTTTGGTGCACTGCCAGTGCTCCTAGGGAAGTGGCCATAAGTGGCCACAAAGCATGGCTAAAGGTTGGGTTTCTTGCATCAGAGAATGAGTTCCATGTGGGCGAATACTGGATAAATACGGGTGTGCATCAAACAGAGACTAATTGGGGAGACACCATTAGACACCCCAAAGTAAAGGCCCCTGGACAGGGAAAATAATCCCAAACCCGGTTGAACATAATGTAGCAGAGGGTGGCCACGTCAGAGGTACAAGAACATGTCATTTTTCTTTTCGGAAACGGCAAAGAGGCGTTAAACAACTGTTTGAAGGTCCAACTATATTCATGCAATGTTGCTTTGGATTGGGCCAAATGGTTGAAGGTCCCACTCTCCCTTTGGTTACCAGGTCGCACTCCAAATGTTGATCCAAGCTGGACATCAGAACAAAAACCTCTTCTCTACCTTCTACAATTTGTTTGTCCGATGCTGCAGAGTGGGTCTCACTGATTCCGGGCACTTAGAAATCAGCCGCACATCTCAGCCGCATCTTCTGGCACATCTCAGCGCCCGCCCAAGAAAAACCTATCTCGGGGAAGCGATCACCGATGAAGACTTCGCGGCATCCAAAGGCTTTCTCCAGTGGGCACCTTGGACCTAATGTGTTTTTTTGAATTGGCTTCTCCAGGTAAAACATATTTCTAGGTGAAGTTGAGTTATTGTGTTTAAGTGTTTTCTGGTGGTTAAGTGATTCTTATGTGTGTGTGTGTGTCACCCCCTGTTCCGAAGGGACCACCGAGTTTCGAGTCACAAAGGACGCTACTAAGGCCCCCCGGTTTCGCTACTAAGGGCTCCTGGTATCGCTATTAGCGCGCAGCTTGTCAATTGTTTAACATGTTCAAAGCGCACAAAAAGAAGCAGGGGGCCACTCCACCCACCACCAGGGAGTGGCCAACGAAGAGCCTGGTGGTGTGGTGCTGAATACGTACCTGCGTTTTTTCCAATTTTAATTTTTAAGTGCGTTTGGAAAACCATGTTCAACCATACTGTTTCAGCTGACTTTTCCAACTTGCGGTTCTTCGCCATCCTTCCCATCGTGGTAACTGAGTTAACTGAATACAATTGTCAGAGTGTGTTTCGCTCAGCCGTCCCACTCGGGTGCTGAGTGTGATCCCCGTCACTGGGGCGCCGTTTTTGCATAGGAAATCATCCACCCCAACTTGCCACTTTTCACCGGATTTCCACTGGAAGTCATTGACACATCCATAGAATCAACTGATGCATTGGCCGCCGGGCCTAAAAACGGAATTTGAAAGCACCAAAGCCGGCGACCTGTCTATGTGTGTCCACCCCTGGACAAAGGGTTCTAAAGCACTAACGGTTTCAGCCACCTTTCACCGGAATCCCACTGGAAGTCACTTACACATCCACCGAATCAATGGCCGCCGGGCCTCACCACGGTACTCCTTCAGTCTACAGTGATTGCATTCTTTCGGCATGATCTTCATGTTGCTGCTAAGTATTCACATGTCCATGTCATGCTGCTAAGTATTCACAGGCCGGACAAATTAATCAGTGCACCCCCTCCCTGCCCCTGGGCCTCTGTTGCTATCCCACCCGCTAATCGAGCAACAGAAGGAAATCGCACTCAACACACTTGTGTGTTGGTGCCTTTCCTTCTGTTTCTCCTATCTATTGCTAGCTACCCGAGCGGTCTAAGACCAGAGTCCCGCTCGCGAACTACTTTCATTTAACTAAGTTGGCCTCGTCACTATACCTATCTTTCCTTCTTGCCCTCTTAGTCTGCTCTTGTTTTGTTCTCTTTGTCTGTCTTTCTAAGGCTTTTTAGGTGACTAGTAGTTTTCCGGAACGCCAATAGTGGCGTTATGTGTACAAAGTTGTTGCCAGCAGATCGCTACTAGGAGCAAAGACGGTACTACTATAGGGGCCTCTGACCGTTTTTTGCAAAGAAAACGGCGCCGACTACGGCAATTTGTGTGTGTCACCCCCTGTTCCGAAGGGACCACCGAGTTTCGAGTCACAAAGGACGCTACTAAGGCCCCCCGGTTTCGCTACTAAGGGCTCCTGGTATCGCTATTAGCGCGCAGCTTGTCAATTGTTTAACATGTTCAAAGCGCACAAAAAGAAGCAGGGGGCCACTCCACCCACCACCAGGGAGTGGCCAACGAAGAGCCTGGTGGTGTGGTGCTGAAAACGTACCTGCGTTTTTTCCAATTTTAATTTTTAAGTGCGTTTGGAAAACCATGTTCAACCATACTGTTTCAGCTGACTTTTCCACCTTGCGGTTCTTCGCCATCCTTCCCATCGTGGTAACTGAGTTAACTGAATACAATTGTCAGAGTGTGTGACTGCGTGTTCCAGCGATTCCTCACACAAGCAGTTTGCTTTGGAGGCACCCCATTTTCAGGTGGCATTGTTACTTCTTTTCGGCCAGATGAGTAGCTTCGCAAAGGGAGACTGGATAATCAACGCAGCCAACGATAATAGAACAGATCTATCGAACCATGGCCTGATGTCTACTAGATGTCGATGTTGTTTTCATCGATCACAATTTTAGGAGGCTGTAAATGTACTGATGTTTTTGCGTTTTCCGTCAGTCGTTCTTATATGCTTGACATGCGTGATTGATCTTGAGTTTAAAATACACACATTCACACGTTCTTGATTGTTCATGCAACTATTGACAGATTCGCCGGTTTGAACTTGCCCCACTATGCCCCACTTCCCGGTCTGGCCGGTCTGGCGCCCACACCATTCTGCTGGCCGTGCCACTCTTCAACGCTTCGGTCCCAGGCTTCGGAGCGGTACCCGAGCAGTGCGGTCTTCGAGTTCTGGCAGGCGGAGCTCCATGTGATCCGCACCGAGGTGCGCGAAGCTTCCGAGCGCCCTGGAGGAGGAAAACCCTTGGTTTCGACGGAAGATCCGAAGCGAGCGAAGCGCCGGGTATTCCTGCGGGGGGCATGGGGTTCCTGCCGGGTCCGGGTGGAACATGTTGGACCCATCGTGCTGTGGAAGACTGGAGGAGGGGAAGTCCGTGGGTGGTGGCTGTTGGAATGATCCAACGGGTGGGTGTGTCACTGTGTGTGCTTTTCCATCTGTGGAAACTGTCGGTTTGCGAACCAATACGCTCTGACCGGTGGTGTTTCGGTGCTCCTTGCCGGAACCGGAGTAACTGGTGCGAAGCCAAAAGTCCAAGAGCAATGGATGTTGGATGATGTTGGTGATTTTTTCTAGCTCTCTCCTCGTGTGAACCTTGCAGATTGGTCTTTGCCCTCTAGGACCTGTAGAACCATCTAATTATGCCTAGCTGATGAACGTGCAGATTACCTTGATGATTGATTTCTAGTTCCAGTATTAAGGATTATCAACAACATAGGCCAATATGCAACTTTTGGATGTTTTGCATCATGGGGCATTTGTTGTCCACCTCTTATGTGGCACTTCACCAGAGGCTTTTAGATGTAGGTAGTATCATGTCCAGGAAAAGTGGTGATTTGTGGGCAGTATTCACGCGACAGTTTTCTTGGGTTTGCACAGCCCTGGCAACAACATACCACTTTTGTGCTGTTGGTTTTGACCAAATGCAACTTGGTTTTGATTATATATATATATATGTAAACGCAGCAACTCCTTGATGCACTGGGGGACCAGTATGCGACATTTGTTGAACGTGTTTGGGTTTGATGAGACAGCGTTTGTCATCGTTGTTTGACATTCTCCATGCAACAATATGCAACAGGGGAGGCCAGTCTCAGAATCAATTGCCATGTGTGCTACTTGTTTTGCATATGAAGCGCTGCAGGCGCTTCACCAGCCTGTTGACAGGACACCCAATGTTGCTGGCATGATTTGGGGAAGGCCGATAGCGTTTACTCACACACAAAAAGACTAAAAGGCACAGCATTAACATATATAGATATATAGCCAGTGTTACGTAGGAAGTTGTGTTTTTCTCAACAACACATAGTAATGTATGCAAGAGCTCGTCCATTCGCCCATTGTACCCTCCATGGCGCCCAAACCATGGAAGTGGACCACTCCATGCAACGAAACGCCGCTGACCGGACCACGTCACCCCTTCGGCGCCGCTTGAGGTGTGTAGAGCGAGTGCATTCCGTGCTGGCGCATTTGAAGCTCCCAGCGATTGACTCCTTCCTGGAGCAAAAGAAAGCCATGCACCTGGCCGAAGAAAGTTCATGCCAAGAGAAAGGTTGACTTCTCTTGAAAAAGTGGAAACCGGTAAGACCTGAGGTTGGTATTTAAATAATTGGGAAGAGTTTCCAACCAATGGATTTAGTTTGATTGTGATTTTCCCGGAAGCCTTTGAGGGATTTTTTTTGCTCGGCTTCCCTGCGACAAGGTTTCAGCGTAGCTTCCCTGGGTTGATTGTGAAACAGCTTCGTCTGACGGAAGAGGCTGGTACACATAGTAAGGGATGTCCCGTATGCTTCTTACACTTATATATATATATATATTACATCTTATTACGTGTGCTCCCTGATGCTCCCTGCCAAGCAGAGAATGGTGTGTTAAAATGATACATCATGATACCACAATGTTGTCTGTCAGTTTGGTGAACACTGCCGTTGGACGTCGGGCTCAGAATGTTCGGTTGTTCGGTTCTGCCATTCGCTCCGGAATGCCCTATGCATTTCTGGCATATGGTATGACATGGTATTACTAAACAAGTCTATACAGAGTATGTTTGGCATGTCCAGTTCCCTTCAAAACAGATCTAAACAGTTTGGTAACCTGGCACGATGAGCCTACCTCGCAAGCCTGGCACGGGAAGCGGTTGGATCCCTTCGATTGAAGGTGGACCTGGAGTGTTCGATGGACAGTAAATGGCACGTGGTATATGGCACCCCCGATTTTGTTGTTATATGGCGCCCCATCCAGAGCTAGAACTCCTTAATATTCCTTTTTAATCAACAGACCCTTTTTTGTTGAAAGAGTCGTCCTTTTAGAAGATTTGCATGGAAGGAGGGCTTTTTGTTGATTCGTTGACCTCCCTTAGATGGAAGTGCCTGGCTATTTTGATGAGGGTAGCCGCAAAGGGTGCCCTTGATTGGTTCACCTTCTAACAACAGCCCGTTGGAAGTGGACACTTTCCGCCGAGAAGGCAACTTCTGATTGTGAACAGATATCCCCATCCCCATTTCCACTACGAAATGGGTGGCCTTAAGGCCCATATAAAATGGTTGGCAGGGGTCATTTTGTAAGAAATCAATTTCTAGCACCCAGGCATCTTGTAAGAATGAACCCAGGACTCATTTTGTAGTTGTTCTTTCCAAAAGTCAGAAGCCATTTTGTAAGGAAATCAAGTCAGAGTTAACATTGAAGGGGTTACAGCCCCTCATTCTGTAGTTGCATCGCCAATATCCAAAAGGCATTTTGTAGGAAGGTTATGATGTGAACAATGGGTTCTCAAATTTGTGTCCAGGTTGCACCTGCTCTTTTTGTAAGAGGCTTGCAACTGTTTCCCAGAGTCATTTTGTAAGGAACTAGAGCCCTGTGATGTTTGAATAGATTTGGGATATGATTTGTAGCTATTTGGCTGTCTTCGGATCGAGAGCCCGAATTCCACTGGCAATATTAGCTAACTAATATTTTTGGAAACATTTTAGGCATTTTACATATATAACCCATTACAAGCATCCACGTTACCCTAAGTTTACTAATTTCGCCAGCAGCAGTTTGGGCCCATGAAATGGTGGAATTGTTTTGGTGAGACACCCCTTCATGTTGTTAACATTTGCAAATACCTTCCCCACAAAAAGCTAGAACCCATGAAGCCCCGGAATTGTTTGTTTCAAACACCCCTACATTTTGTAACAAGAGTAGCCACGTGCCATGTACAGTGACCCTTACCATTTCATGGATTTCAATGGTCCTTAATAGTGGAACATATTCATATTCATTCTAGGGTTTCCTGGTGTACTTTGGACATACCTTACAAAAAGGGTTGGCGTCAAGCTTTTCAAAAAAAAATCATACACTGTTGAAATATTGCAAAGATACCTCTTACAAAAAGGGGGGCCTACCCAAGAATGGAGAAGGATGTTGATGTCCCCCACAAAAAGGGAAGGATCCAAAAACATGAGTTTGCCACTCACAGCAATGGCATATTATTAGCTAATAACTTAACAACGTTTCAGACATTTCCATATATAACCCAGATGTTTTCTATGTGGTGCCCATTACAAGCATCAAAGTTACCCTAAGTTTACTAATTTCTCCACCAGCAGTTTGGGCCCATGAAATGGTGGAATTGTTTTGGTGAGACACCCCTTCATGTTGTTAACATTTGCAAATACCTTCCCCACAAAAAGCTTGAACCCATCAAGCCCTGGAATTGTTTGTTTCAAACACCCCTACATTTTGTAACAAGAGTAGCCACGTGCCATGTACAGTGACCCTTACCATTTCATGGATTTCAATGGTCCTTAATAGTGGAACATATTCATATTCATTCTAGGGTTTTTCTGGTGTACTTTAGACATACCTTACAAAAACGGTTGGCGTCAAGCTGTTCAAAACAAATTTCATACACTGTTTAAATATTGCAAAGATACCTCTTACAAAAAGGGGGGCCTACCAAAGAATAGAGAAGGATGTTGATGTCCCCTACAAAAAGGGAAGGATCCAAAAACATGAGTTTGCCACTCACAGCAATGGCATATTAGCTAATAATTTAACAACGTTTCAGACATTTCCATATATATAACCCAGATGTTTTCTATGTGGTGCCCATTACAAGCATCCACCTTACCCTAAGTTTACTAATTTCTCCACCAGCAGCTTGGGCCCATGAAATGGTGGAATTGTTTTGGTGAGACACCCCTTCATGTTGTTAACATTTGCAAATACCTTCCCCACAAAAAGCTAGAACCCATGAAGCACTGGAATTGTTTGTTTCAAACACCCCTACATTTTGTAACAAGGAGTAGCCACGTGCCATGTACAGTGACCCTTACCATTTCATGGATTTCAATGGTCCTTAATAGTGGAACATATTCATATTCATTCTAGGGTTTCCTGGTGTACTTTGGACATACCTTACAAAAAGGGTTGGCGTCAAGCTTTTCAAAACAA